TCTAAGTTGCCCATCCCTATCAACCCTGTGTACAGAGGGGATGGGAATGATCCTTACTGTAAAGATTCTTTCCCTCTTGGTTGGTATTTTAAGCTACTACAGCCGTAAGTACAGGTCAAGTTCATCAGATTGTAGCGATTTACACTTGTTTTTTTAAACCGCCCCCCTCTTTTCCTTCCTGTAGTGGGGTTCTGAACATCCAGCAATTGAAGCTAGGTCCGGTGGGCACTATCTGCAAGTTTGGGCACTCTACTTCATATTCCCTCACTTCTTATCAACTGGACGGTTCACTCTCAGCTCTAGCCCTCCGAGGCCATGTCTTTGTCCATGGGCTCAGGAATCCCCAGGTCTCACCGTACTTTGGGCCAACCAGCTCTCACCATACTCCAGGTTGATGAGGGTCTGTGTAACTTGGTCGGACTCAGCCCACCTCTTCTTTGCTGCTTTCCCCCCCCCACTTCCTCTCACCAGTAGACAACATGATTGCCAGCAAGCTTTCATGCCTGCTTATGCATTTCCTTTGAGTTTCAGTCTTTGAGGGGGGTTTGTCCTGAAGGGGCTTAATTGCTTGTCTTGATGGCTCCCTGCGAAAAACTTGCTTGTTCTTGTAGTAGCCAGTCAGACTGCTGTTTTTGTTTTTCTCTGTAAATATTCTTGACCTTTATTACGGGATACAGTTAATTTACTTGAAAAGGTTTTGACTCTTCCAGGCCTTGTTTTTAAGACTTGTTACATGGGAACAGAGTTGTATTTAGTCTAAGATTAACTGTGTTGTAACTACTGAGAGAAGTCCCATCTGTGAATTCTTCCCAGTGCCTCATGAATTAGGAGGTTTTCCAGTTTAGTTTGGGGAACAAGGTACTATTTCTGGTCTGTGTAAGTATTGGATACTGTTTTTTCTAATCTTTTTTGGTAATTCTTTCCCTGGCTTTTGGCAGTTTACTTATACACAAGCGCTGGTCAGCACTCTTTCCAGGACAAGGGATCTGCTGAAGACCTCTCTAGTTCTCCCTCTATGCAGTTCTCTCGTCTCTGGTATCCTGTTCTTGAAACTATAGTATTCGGAATCTCCCCGGACGATAGCTTCTTCTCTTCAACTGAGGAAGTCTGCCAGGCTCTGCCTGTGGCTCTCCCTCCTTGAGCCATGACTGAGAACACTCTCAGAACAGCAAGCTGGGGTTATATATGGCTCGTCTCACTTGTTTCATCCCTTTTAGGGTCATTGCCTAGTGATGTCTTTGTTGCCTGATGTAAAGCTTCTTGAAAGTGTTATTTCATATAGTATTTGTATTTTTTGGTTGTTTCAGGAGGGACAGTTAATCTGGTTCCTGTTACTCTATCTTGGCCAGAAGCAGAAGTCCCAGAGAATATTTTTGAATTGATGAACAAATTTGCAAATTTCTGTGGAGAGATTTGTGACTATTAAAAATGTGCTTGCACTAGGTAGGAAGCTCCTAGACCTATTTCCATTATAAGCCAGTTGGTCATTCACGCTCTGGTGGCATTCTGTTGGCAGATTTCATTACTGGGAGTGGGTACCCAACTAGCTGGTGAGACTGCCTGAGGGCAAGCATTGAGGTAGTCTGGGGACACGGGGCTGCCCTGTGCTCATTGATTTCCCCAGTCTGTTCACAGGATAGAGTCTGGCAGCTGGTGTTGTATTGGTGAGAGTTGAAGGTCAGGAGTCATTGCTGCAGAGATTAATGGAGATTGCTAAATGGACATACAAGATTGCTTAATCTGAGCATTTTGCCAGGACCTACCTTATGACTCCAAAGTCGGAGGAAATTCATCTTTTTCTTTCTCCAGTATGTCTTGGTCTCTATACTTCTGAGCTCATCACACTCCCAAATCTAGTAGCCCCAGGGCATCAGGAAGGCTAACAGAGTCCTATTGTCAGAGTGTACCTCAGGAAGGAGCTGCTGTGTAGGCCAAGCCTGTTGTTCCCCAGGGAGTGGAGTCTGTAAGCCATGGGCATTACGCTGAACCTCTATGAGCCTCCATTTGGTCATCTATTAATTGGGGATGGCAACCCTTGTCCTGGCCATCTCACAGAGCGGTTATAGTGTGTATAAAGATACTTTGCCATAGTAGAATCTTTGATAAAGCTATTATTATTTTGGGGGTGTTTTTATTCAAATTGGACAATGAATAAGGAAGGCCATAGAAAAATGGATGCATTTGAGTTATGGTGTTGGAGAAGAATATTAAAAGTAACATGGACTGCCAGAAGAACAAACAAATCTGTGTTGGAAGAAGTACAACCAGAATGCTCCTTAGAAGCCAATGCTGAGACGGTGTCTCTCATACTTCAGGTATATTATCAGGAGAGACCAATCCCTAGAGAAGGACATCATGCTTGGTAAAGTGGAACGTCAGGAAAAAGAGGAAGACTCCCAGTGAGATGGATTGGCACAGTGGCCGTGGCAATGGGCTTGAGTGTGTACGGTGATTGTGAGGTTGGGGCAGAACCCAGCAGTGCTTCTTTTTGCTGTGCATAGGGTCACTATCAGTCAGTGCTGACTGGACGGCACCTAATAACCTTACTGAAACAAAAGAAAATGTTAAATTTCCTAGCTGGATGTGTACACTGAAATGCTTTTGAATATAATCTAGATGACAAGCAGTAGGCTTCAAGGGAAGCCATGTATGAAGGGCTTCAAAAAGTTTGTGGGAAACTGAAAATAAAGGAATTTTTCTGTGAACTTCTGAAACCCCTTCATATTTGTGCACTTATTTGGCACTTATTGATCTCGTACTCACTGTGGGTATGCACCTACTTTCTACCTGGAGAATTGGGGGTGGCTCTTGGCTGTTGGAAAGTTTAATGGAAAGGATAACTTGTTTTCTCCATAGGAGAACATTTCATATCTGAGGAGAATGTAGGTATTCGAGGTTCATTTATTTTAAAGTCATATGTGATTGTGACTGTGCTGGCTTGTTTTGATTGCAGAAGAAAGTGGTCATATATGGTCTGAGGAGCAGCCTGCTCACTCTGTCCAGACGGGGGCTGTATATCTGACTGAGGAAGACCCCCAACATGGCCCAACGGGCCAGGACATGTCAGCAGAAGAGGACAGTACAGTGCTGGGACTGGAAAGCAATGGTGATCACATGGTGATGTTGTCTGTGATTCCGGGGGAAGCCGAGGACAAACCTAACTTGGAGTCGAGTGGTGGCACCTGCAGGGCTGGAGATGAGGAAGACTCTAGGTGCAGTCTCAGGAAGAGCCTCTTTTCTCTGGATAGCTCTGGAACAAGCTTCCCAGATAAAGAGGAGGAGGATTACACAGAGCCAGAAGTGGCAGAGTCTGAACAACCCCCGGCAGAGGAGTCCAATAACACTGAAAGTCTCAGATCTCCAAAGGTGAACTGTGAGGAGAGAAATGTGACCGAATTAGAAAACTTTACCTTGAAATTTTTAAATATGTCACAGGTAAGCAAACTCATCATTTAGAGCTTTCCTCCTTATGCTTTCATGATTTAGTTCACTGTCAACTTTCTAATGGATGGTCTTAATATTTCCTGTACTGTAAGTGGAATAGTATCAAATGGCTGCATCAGCGGAAATTGCCCCTACCTTCTATGATGTTTGTTGAGCTAGATAGTCTGGATGATAGTTTTTAGGTAGCTTAAGCCTAGGCATCCTTGGGGTAATCTCATCATTAAATCTCATTATAAAACTCCTGATGGACAGCATTTTTTGTCTTCAAAATGAAGTTCTTTATTGCAGAAGTAACTTCAAAATATCTGAAGTACAACAATTAAAGTTTAGAGCCATGGGGAAATATGTTATATTGATGAAAAGTGTCACTCTCCTCCAAAGAGTGTGAATGCAGTGCTTTCTCTGGAGTGAGAGTTGAGACAATTATTTTAAACCCAGCCACATTTTATAGGTAGCTGGGTAAATGGTGATTCCAAAGGGTATGGGGATAATGGGAAATTTCTATACAATTGTTAAGAAAACTTAAGAGGATCATGCATTACAGGCTAGTTATACAAGAGAAGTAAACCCTACTGAAAGCTCTGGTTGATTATTTTAAGTGACAGTGTGTTTATGACTCTTAGTGCTCATAGGTGCCCTACAAGTGCTGAATCAGTGCTGACCTCCCGCATCCCCCGCGGGGCCTCAGTTCTGCAGGACTGTTTAATTGGTATCTCTCAGAGCAATCAGGCAAGAGCAGTTCAAACAGTTCACATTAGGGTGGTGGCAGGGGTAGTGCACCTTAGAACTGAACTATCCTTTGGCCAAGTATATTGATCCAATTGCTTGCAGACTCCAGTCTGCTGAGATGATGATAGTTTGGGTCTGAAGTCATAGTGCTCCAATAATGCATTTAGTTTGAGTCAGGGCAGTGGTCTGCATCCAACAAGTTCCTGTATTTGAATTGATGAATTGTGAAAAATAATAAAATAGCTCTGCAGAGAAAGGCTTATAACTTGCCATTTGCTAATACTTTTCTGCTGACTCTTGAATTCATATGGTTCAAAATCCAAAAAGTCCTAAAGTGTTTACAGTATAGTGTCCCTCCTATGCCTGCCCCCACCCACCAGTTCCTCTCCCTGGAGGCACTGGTGTTATTGTCAGTTTTCCTAGGAAAATATGCTTTATTAACACGGTTTCTTTCATTATAGGACCTTATGGATTTTCTAAATCCAAACGGTAGTGACTGCACGCTGGTCCTGTTTTATACCCCGTGGTGCCGATTTTCTGCCAGTTTGGCTCCTCATTTTAATTCTTTACCCCGGGCATTTCCAACTCTTCATTTTTTGGCACTGGATGCCTCTCAGCACAGCAGGTATCTTCCCTTCGTGGGGTCTGTATCTCTATGTCTCATCCTTTTGAATGGTGGTTGTGGTTATCTGGAGGTCAGAACTAGTTACATTAGAAGCAGAGATGGTAGGCATGAACTTCAAAACTGGAGTGAAGGAGGAGAAAAGAAATGGCAACTGAGGGTGGTCAAACTCCTAAAGGAGCGGATGATACCCAGTTTTAGAGGCCTCTGAAAACAAGCAGACTGTTCTCTGTATAGTGGAATCTGGAGGTAGTTCAATTTTTTTTTCTTTTTCTCTAAAGCACAATTAGTATCACATATACAGTATTTGTTTGTGACTGAACCATAATTTAGATGCCTATTTAGTTAGTTCTCTTGGCACCCTATCTCTCTCTTGCCCCTTTCTGTGTCTGCTTAGGATTCCTTTCTTCCTCTTTTTTCTTTTTCTTTCCTTTGCTTTCTTTTCCTCTTTCCTTGTTTCTTTCCTCTTGCTTACATTTATTAAAAAAAAATTTTTTTAAGTTTTTATTGTGAACTGAGTGATAGTTTACATGGGAGAACATCAGGTTTACACCATTGTTTCATTGCAATGATTATAATCCCCTCTGTGCATCACTATTAAACAGCATCTACTTCCATTCCCTCTGTTTTTCTTTTTTTGGGAGTAGGGATGTACACAAAAACACTCAGGAATATGTAATTATTTAAACAACCAAAGGGCACATTCTGCAAGCCTCCCTCCTGGCCACCAGCACCCAGTCCCTCTCTTTCCATGAGTCCAGGGTTGCTTACATTTATTTTTGTATTCATGTGCGATACATAGCAGACACTCATTTTCATGAATTAATATAGCCTTTCAAAATGACAGCTTACCCTTGGTTCATATTTCTCTTGTGGTGCTCAGTGAGCTTTTGTCTTTGATAAATGTCAACAAAATAGATTATATAGAGCTTTGCTCAGATGTTATGGATTTCCCTTTGTAAGAATTGTGAATGTCCCTGGACTACCAATTGTGTGTCCCATGTACCACCCCCCCCCACTTCTCTGATTAAGGGGGATTCTCCATAACTGACCACAAGGAAGTGTTGTGTGAATCAATTTGAAATGGCTGGAAGATGATCAAGTTGATGATAAAACATTTTGAAAATAAGTTGAAGTTGAGTGAGTTTATTAATTTGCACTCCACTAATTTTCAGTGTGGGGAATGTTATTGCCAACATTTACCTCAAATTGTTTATGAAGAATGACATGGCCCAACAGATTAGTACTTCTCATGAAGGCATCTTTACATTGGGGAAATGTCAAAGCTGCCCCTAGGAACAGGCTGATTGGAAGGACAGTTGAGGTTGCATGTCCAGCTTTGACCGTGTCCTCCATTGCTCCCAAGCTGGCAAGCCTGACTTCTGCATCTGTTCACTTCTCTCAAGATGCTCTGGTACTGGTTCAGCATTGCTGTCCTTGGCCAGCCCCCCCCTCCCCCCCGCCCCACTGGCTCTTTACCTGCTCTATTCCTTCTTTCCTTCATCTCAGTTGTATGCCTCTCAGTGCTTGACGGTGCTCCATTGAGAGAGAGTATTCATACTTGTTCTTACATGGACTGGGACATGTGTTTCCTTCATATGCTAGTACTAAGTTACAGTGTGTCCCCAAATCCAAAACAAAACAAAAAACATTTGATGATCCAGTATTAAAAAAAAACAATCACTTGATCATCCAATGACTTAAAAAAACCCCCAACAAAAACCAAATTCACTGCCTTTGATTCTGACTTATAGTCACCCTACAGGACAGAGTAGAACTGCCTCATAGGGTTTCCAAGTCTATAATCTTTACAGAAGCAGATTGCCTCATCTTTCACCTGTAGAGCAGCTGGTGGGTTTGAACCACTGACCTTTTAGTTGCCAGCCAAGCGTTTTGCCCACTGTACCATCAGGGTTCTGAGGTCTAGGGAGCTTAAGTCCAGAGAACACACAGTTCTGAAGTGGCAGAATGGAGGCTTGAGACCTGGATGCTTTGACTCCAGAACTTATCATCACTGCGCTGTATCACAGAAAGGGGAAACAGAAAGGTGAAACCGCACAGGTCATATTACCTCCACATTACTCTGCCCTAATTGTGAATTTATGGAGTCCTGGTGTGGTGCTGTGGGTTAATGCGCCAGACTGCAAAGCCGTTTGAACTGCAAGGTTGGTGATTCAAGCTCACCAGCTGCTCCTTGGAAACCCTATCCAGGGTCGCTATGGGTCGGAACTGACTCGATGGCACTTAGCAACAACAACAATTGTGAATTTATTGGCATATTTGTCAGATCATATATTCTCTTGTGCTTTTACCATAATTTGATCTTTTTTGAGGGATGGGAATGGGCATTCTGAAGAGTCTGAAATGTGTTCTGTGACATAAATTGACACAGTGTGTTTCTCCATGAATTGGAATTTCCTGGTCTGATCTCTTAGGTCAGTTAGAAATTTAAATAGTGAAATCAAAATTGTGTCATGGGTAATTGCATATTGTAACAGAAAGCAACTCAGAGGGCAGAACAGGAATGCCCTGAAACTATAACCTTTTAGGAAAAAGGTTGAAAACAAACTTAATAAAGTTTGAGGATCACAAATGTCCTTAGGTCCCACACAGCTGATCCTTTAGCAAGTATTTCCATCCATTCTGATAAGCCCACTGTTAATTCTTTTCTGAATGATGTTTTTCTCTTGTAGCCTTTCTACCAGGTTTGGTACTGTAGCTGTTCCTAATATTTTATTATTTCAAGGAGCTAAGCCAATGGCTAGATTTAATCATACTGACCGAACATTGGAAACTCTGAAGATCTTCATTTTTAATCAGACTGGTATGTAAAAATCATACATTGTCCGAAATATTTCTGGGAGGTATATGTCTTTTGTGGGTTCTGATCTGCTGCAATTTTTATCTTAAGTGAAGGATTCAAGATTGAGATATTAACTTTTTTTCCCTCTAATAAACTTGTTGTTAGGTGCCATCGAGTTGGTACTGACTCATAGCGACCCTGTGCACAACAGAACGAAACATTGCCTGGTCCTAGGCCAACTATTTACTGTTAAATATCCTAAACACTAGCAAGCTTAACATGAATAAGTAACTTTAATGATTATGTTGTTGTTGTTAAGTGCTGTTGAGTCAGTTCTGACCCATAACAACCCTGTGTATAGTTTCCAAGGAGCAGCTGGTGAGCTTGAACCACCAACCTTTTGGTTCAAACCGGCTTTGCAGTCCAGCGCATTACCTATAGAAGCCTTTTTTTTTAGATATATTTCACACACCAATACATTTCATCTGTAAATACCTTTATATATACATTTTTTAGTAACTATTTACATAAAATACACATAAATCACACTGTACAGCATGAGGAATTTTAACAAAAAGTGAATACCATGGGTAACCAGTACTCAGATCAAGAAACAACACATTTCTAGCCCTTCTTCAGCAGTTGCCCTTCCCAAAAGATAACCACACTTTTGACTCCTATTACTAGTCTAGTGTTGCCTATTTATGAACCGTATACTAAGGAGGACATATAGTATGCATTCTTTTGAGTATGATTTATTTCATTCAACATGATTGTGAGATTCATCTGTATTGTATATAGTTTGTTTTGCTTACTTTTGTTGCTGTATAGTGTTCCCATTTATTAATCTACCAGTAGATGCTGTTCCTTAACACTTGCCAAAATATATGGCCTTACCCTTTATTCAGAGTCCTGGTGTGGCGCTATGGGTTAATGCGTCAGACTGCAAAGTTGTTTGAACTGCAAGGTCGGTGGTTCAAGCTCACCAGCTGCTCCTTGGAAACCCTATACAGGGTCGCTATGGGTCAGAATTGACTCGACGGCACTTAACAACAGCAACCCTTTATTCTGTTGATGAAAGTCTTGAGCATTAGAAATTGAATAGATTTTCTCCATTGGCAAAGTTCCTCTCCCCAAAAATATTAATACTTCAAATACAAAAAATATGAACATCCCACTTCTTCCTGAAGTGTAGTTGTTAAGCGCTGTCAAGTCGGTTCTGACCCATAGCGACCCTGTATAGGGTTTCCAAAGAGCAGCTGGTGAGCTTGAACTGCCAGCCTTGCAGTTCAAACGACTTTGCAGTCTGGTACATTAACCCACGGCGCCACACCAGGACTCCATATGTATGTGTGTGTATATACACACACACACACATATGATGGTTCAAGCTATCTAGCTGCTCCTCAGAAACCAGGGTTGCTATGAGTTCAGAATCGACGGCACTTAACAACAACAACAGCTTACATGTTATACCAAAGAAGGAACAGCTTCTACTTCTAGGAGTCGAATGCTTGTTATGAAGTGCTCAGATATCCCAAGTACTGAATTGGCATATGCTGGACCCAAATTGTCATTTAGATTGATATGGGGTGAGGGAGTCATTTTGCTCAATGCTTTCAAGAAAACCTAGGAACTAGGAGCTGCAACATCTTTGTCAATCTCTGCCCCCAGTGGTACATGGTTGTTCTAATAGTTCTTCAATTCCTTCAATAATAAATAATGTTATTTTAAAACATTATTTAAAAAAATGCATTTTGAATTTAGCATTACTTAACTTGTGGAATTGCAAGGTTGGTGGCTCAAGCTTACCAACTGCTCTTTGGAAACCCTATACAGGGTTGGTATGGGTCAGAACTGACTCGACAGCATTTAACAACAACAACAAAGCAACAACTTGTGGAAGCACTCTTCTATAGAGCCCTGAGAGAGTCTTTACTAGTTACTTGTTGAACTTTGGGCTGAAAAGAGAACAAAAGAAAATTCCTGCAAATCATTGGTTAAGAAACTTCTGATGAATTTACAGAGATTCTAGTTTTTGCTTTGAACAGCTGAATGGATTCCTGCTCCTTTGATGTGGTGGGGAGACAGGAAAGTTGCAAATCACAATGACAGGCAAGTGAAATCCACCCCAGATATACTAGCAGTGGTGTTTATATTAAGACTGCATATCATTTTGCATACCGTGCATAGTACTTAAGAAAAATTGGTGGCAGGTGCTTTTTCTGATTTGAAACAACTGATTTCTCTTTCAGGTATAGAAGCCAAGAAAAATGTGGTGGTAACTCAAGCTGACCAAATAGGCCCTCTTCCTAGCACTTTGATAAAAAGTGTGGACTGGTTGCTTGTATTTTCTTTATTCTTTTTAATCAGCTTTATTATGTACGCTACTATGCGAACTGAGAGCATTCGATGGCTAATTCCAGGACAAGAACAGGAACATGCAGAGTAATGATGGACTGAAAGTAGAAGTTGGAAACAAGAATTTCATTCTTTAGTTTCAGAAATTAATGTTAGGATTTCATACATTTTCTTCAGTGAAGTGCTGACTTGCAGCATCCTTTATAGTAAAAGAATCATGCATTTGTTCAACTACTGAATGGGTAAAAACATTATAAATGGGCATTTAAACTAGTATTGTAGTAAGCAGATGCAAAAACATTCAATGGAATTCACTGTTTTTGTTTTTACTACTTGAATGTCATATAGTATTTTAAGGGAATAACCCAGTTTAAAATGTGAAGATGTATTCTGGTGAAATACTGAGTAGAATGACAATATGCTTACTGTATGGAAGACAGAAATAGGAATTTCAGAGTACAGTTTTAGAAAGTACTTGATCCTCCATATGTCTAAGAAGGGTTTTTTGTTGTTGTTCATTTATAATTTCTTTTCTATAGTGTGTAAGCAGGAAAGTGTTGTGATGAGAAGAATACCTAGAATTGACAAGTGTGACCTCACAAGCAGTTAACTGCTACTTGCTGTCTTTACTGATGACAAATTAAAGAATACCTTGGTGTTTGTGATCTCTGATTTCCCTGAAAGAATTCAAAGTAGTTTAAGAAGTGTTTCTGGATAAGGCAGAAAGTACCTTTTCATTATAACTAAAGCTTACCAGTTCTACAGTGTACTTATAAAATGCCCATTTATAATTTTAATAGATGTCTAACCAGCATGCGTTTTTTGAACCTTAAAATGTTCTTAACACTGTGCTAAGGTTAGTGAAGTCCAAAAGAAACACAAAACACTGTCCTTGCCTGCAAGTTGATCTTAAGCTACTTCAAGACACAGTTAATAAAGAGACACAATGTAATTTATACAAACTTTTTGAAAAGCTGTTTCTAAAAGTGCCTTTAAATTCAGATATGACAGCTGATTACATAATGATACATTACTTTTATACTGATTGTTTCCAGTATTTATTTAGAGTAGTTGAATGTTCATTTCATAAAGCGCCCTAAATTGTATTAAAAGAGAACACTAGATGAGTCTCCTTCTCACAGCGATCATATTAGATGGGACTTTGCAACTTTATAGTTATGTGTCATGCTGTAGGTGGTTAATAAGTGGGAGGGCCAGAAGGAAACCGCGGCTCAGAACAATACCTTTATTTCCCTATTACAACTGAGCAAGCTGAGTCATAGAAAGATTAAATAACTTACCCAGGTTACACAGTAAATTGATGAAGCTGGGATTCGAACCTTCATATTTGTGTTTCTGTAATTACAAATATAAGGAAAAGAAAACCCAGCACCCTAGTGTTTCCATCTCTTATACTGAGAGCATCTGAGGATTACTTTGTGTGTGCCAGGTACCATTTCAAATGCTTTACATACAGTATTCGCTAAAACCAACTGGGAACCATGTCTGACTTCCAGTGGCTTCACAAGGAGGAAAGGGAATCAAATTCAAAATCAACTCAAGGTCGATACCTATGAGGTGGAGGTCAGACATGCCTCCACCCTACCACCTTCTTTACCCTATTCTGACACCAGCCATCCCTCCCACAGCACTCTCTGCTTCACATCTGGGTTCGATAAGCCACACAGAACTCAAACCAATACTCAAAATTATGGGGTTTACTAGGGAAGTGTGAACAAGGTACATTCTCCAGTCAGGAACATCTTTTCTTTGCCGTACTGCAGACATGCCTCACTCCTGTCTTTGGCTTCTCAGCCTTGTGGCCCTTGCTGTACTTGGGCAAGTATTACAAAGCTCTTTTAGCTAGTCTGTGAAAGCCCAAAGGGCACATTCTGTAAGCCATTCTCCTGCCCTTGTATACTTAGCTTTACTCAGTCCATGGGCCTAGAGTCTGCAGGTGCTCTATCTTTCCTTGTCACCGCCTCTGCCTTCACCGCTTTATTAGGTATGGATATCATGCATGTTCCACTCATGTTCTTGTCCTGGGATTGTCCATTCCTGCTTCTGAGATGGCTCCTTTTAAACCTAGCTGGATGGCAAAATTAACTAATCCCAGCCTTAAGGTCCTGTATACCTTATTTGCATGGTCCCACTTGGACTTCTGGTGTGGCACTGTTGGATCCGCACTGGACTGAGAACTACAAGGTCAGTGGTTCAAACCCTCCAGCTACTCCTCGGAAACTCTGAACAGGGTTGCTATAAGTTGTAATTGACTAGACTACACTTTATAACAATTTAACAACCCAATCACTTGGTAGGAATTAAGACATTAGAGAAAAAAGCCATCTCAAGTAAAATCAAGGTACCACACTAATCTGCACAATGATTAAATATCCTCATTTTACTAGAAGAGGAAACTGAGGTACCAAGTAACTGGGCATTCAACTTGCAGAGGTGGGAGCAAGCTTCACCCCTAGGCATTCTGACTCCAGAACATCTCCATGAGATGGTACTCTGCCCAGCCTCTAGTGCCACTAGAGGCCATCGTATACATTTCTACTGAGTTTCCATAGTTACAGGTATAACTTGGTGGTGGTGGTTATGTGCTGAGGAGTTGATTTTGACTCATGGTGACCCTGTATAGAATTTCCAAGGCTGTAAATCTTTATGGGAGCAGAATGCCTCATCTTTCTCCCTTGGAGCAGCCGGTAGATTCAAACTGCCGACCTTGTGATTATCATCTCAGCTCATAATTCACTATGCTACCAGAGCTCCTTAGGTATAACTTCTTGTTAAGTGCCATTGAGTTGGTTCTGACCCATAATGGTGGTTATGTGCCATGGAGTCGGTTCCAACTCGTAGTGACCCTGTACAGGGTTTCTGAGGCTGTAAATCTTTACGGGAGCAGAAAGCTTCATCTTTCTCCCGTGGAACAGCTGGTAGTTTCAAACTGCTGACCCTAAGGTTTGCAGCCCAATTCGTAACCACTATGGTATCAGAGTTCCTTAATGGCCTTGTATAGGGTTTTCAAGGGAGTGATTGGTAAGCTTGAACCGCCAACCTTGTACTTCAAACTACCTTTTAAGTCCAGTGCATTAATCCACAGCACCATACCAGGTATAACTTAAAACCTTGCTTTTGTTGTTTAACAAGTGATATTGCCTAACCACAGCTACATAGTAGGCATCTGAGTAGATTCTAACTGAGCCTGTTTTCTTTTGCTGGATATACTGGCTGTATATGGCTTCATTGAGAGCAAATACCCAGAGTAAGAATTACCCTATCAAAGTGTGGATATATTTGTCTTCTGACATATAGGGAGTATAGACTGGGGGATGAGGGGAAGCTCCAAGATAACTAATAGATAGATCCATGGTTTTGCTTCTAGCACTTGGCTGAGACCAGCTCTACAGGGGTTCCATGGAGAGGTGGGTCTCTTAAGTAGGATGAGAAGTAGAAAGGAGGGAAGTGGTCTAAGACTAGCTAAATCATGAAAGCCAAGCATGGTATTGACTACAGAGGATGTGTTCAGTAAATCTTTGCTGAGCGAGCTAAGTGCCATTAAGTCAGTTCTAACTCATGGTGACCCTTTTAGGGTTTCTGAGCACATCAGCCTGTTGGGAGCAGCCGAGCTGAAGGTCCCTGACTGGTAGTTTAACCCAAGGATTGCAACTGAACAGTTGTGGTCCAGAAACTCGGGGCTGCATCCATGTCAAACCTCCCTCCCCCACTCCCCCCAAGGAACTTGCAGGGTGCTCAGGGGACAGGGAACTTGCAAGCTCTTTCCTTGTATTTAGCTATGTCCTTTGGCTCAGCTTGCGCAACATTCTAGCCTCCCTAATCAGTGTTCCAGCTAGCTACCACAAGTTAAAAGTTTTTCTGATTAAGTTCCGCTTACTGCAGACTCCTTCAGTACAAGATGTTCTTGTACTCCTTCCCTTAAGCACCTCCCCTTGAGCTTGTGTATATAATAAACTGGCTACCTTGGTCTGTGCTGCAGTATCTCCATCAGTGCTGCGTCCCACCTGGTCCCAACTTTTTTTATTTCACTTGTGTCTTGTGTCTTCCTTTTTTTTCTCATCTCCCGTCGCCCCTACTTGTGTTTACTCTCTCTGTGCGGGTCATGGAGAATAGCCGATTGTCAGATGTGGCAGTTGGCCCCAGCACCAGCCATTCCTCGGAAACCCTATACAGGGTCGCTGTGGGTTAGAAATGACTCAGTAGCACTTAATAATAACAGCAACAAATGATGGATTACTGCCCATAATTCCATCATTAGTCTCTTGACTTTAGGCACCAGACAAAAGAAATCAAGGATGGTTTAGTATGGAGTGACAGGGGGTCTTGTGTCTTGGATACATTTCTTGAAATCAGTGAGCCACTTTCCATTAGGGTTGCAGGGTGAGTCTTCCCAAGTTTTCCTTTTCAATAGTTAGCTCTTGTCAGTGGGCAAAAGGGAAGAAAGTATGTTTGGCCTGCAGTCTGAATTGTAGGTTACTTTGCAGCAAAGCCTTTATTTTACCCATTTCTATATGGGAAATAAAATAGATTGCTAACAATTGATAAGTTTAACTTAAAATACTCAGATTTTTTAAGAGCACATTTTATATATTCCTGAGTGTACTGTTACCTCATTTACAAAATACTAATATTAATTTGCTTAACCTAGGAAAAACATGACATACTTGAATAAACTAAGAAGTACTGAGTTGAGTACTTTAAATGGGTGAACTTTATTGAACTGTAAAAGAGTATGTGCATACAAATGAGGGTAAATAAAAATTTGTTGGTACTAGGGTTCCAGTTCATACTGTATAGGTTTATTCCAAACAAAATGTGTTTAAACATGTCTCTGGTCAATGGGTGGCTGCAGACAAGTTCTCTCAGTAATTTAGTTTCATTAGGGTGCCTTCAAAAAAAGGTCCACAGTGTTTCCCAGGGGATATGCTGGGCCAGTTAAATGCAAGACAGGAAGGTCAGCTCAGGAGGTTTTTTTTTTTACTTCCAAAAAGGGTAACCTTGATAGATTTTCTTAAAGGACACAGGATGATTGTGGGGGCTTATGAAGAAGTTTTAAGAAAATGGAAAACTGCATTTGTGAGAAAAAATAAGGAAAGTGGTGCCAAGGATTTCCCCCCCCCCCATCACAATGCACCTGCTCATTCTTGAAAGGTGAAGAATTGTCCTATGAGAATTTTGATCATTCCCCTTCAGACTTTTTGTTCCTCAAAGTCAACATTTAAAATATGATTTGGGTCCCTTGTGGTATGAATCAAAGAGCACAGAATTCTTAAGAGATAGGTTAGAGGTGGAAATACTGCCTTCCGAAGTGTATAGACCTAGATGGAGGATATGTTTAGAAACAATAGCCTTACATTTTGATATTTTTGTTTAATAAAGCTTTCTATGATTTTTTTTAGCAATATCTTTTGATTCACCTTTGCGTAGATATACACATATGGATACATGAAGCAATACCCCCCAAAGGTGATAAAAGAATAAATTAAATTTGTCCAAAAGTTAATGTTGCTGTTTAGTGTCGTTCAGTAGGTTCCAACGCATAGGAACCCTGTATAGGTCAGAGGAGTGGCTGGTGAGTTCAAACAGACCTCGTGGTCCAGTGCTTATCCCACAGCGCCACACCAGGACTCCAATGTTAACGACCGCTGGACTGCAAAGTCGCTTTGAGCTGCAAGGTTGGCCTTTCAAGCTCACTAGCTGCTCCTTGGAAACCCTATACAGGGTCATTATGGGTCCGAACTGACTCAACAGCATTTAACCACCTTTTTACTGAGATCTGAGTCCTGGTGTGGTGCTGTGGGTTAATGGGCCAGACTGCAAAGCCCTTTGAACTGTAAGGTTGACGGTTCAAGGTCACCAGCTGCTTCTCAGAAACCCCATACAGGGTCGCAATCGGTTGGTACCGACTCGACAGTACTTAACAACAAATGCTTTAGGACAAGCACCGGACTGCTAACCACAAGATTTTTAGTTTAAACCCACCAGCAGCTCTGTAAAGCCTATACAATGTCTCTATGAGTCAGAACCGACTTGATGGCACATTAACAACAAAGACAAATCTTGCCCTAGGACTTGCAACTAAGTAATGACTGCAGAATTTCGATTCTAAACCACAGCATTAGTGGCATAAGGATGGACTGCTGAGATTGGGCCATCTGGGTGGAACTATTAGCCACTGTTCACCCCAGCCCCCGCCTAATTCAGTCGGAGCTGAGGATGGTCAGCCAGTTCGCTAGGCCAGCAGAGGGGGCGGGATTTCCAACACCGCAGAGGTCACCCCTCCAGCTGGCCCACCTCTCCTGCACAGATGGGAAAACCCGGGAGCAGGGTTGGGAGAAGTAGAGAGCAGAGGTTGAGAGCGCGAGCCTCTGGTCTGGCCTGCGGGCCCGCAGTGCCGCACCCTCCACGCTGCAATAAAGTTGGCAGCCATTGAAGCTCCTGAGGGCCTTCTGGGGACTGCGTTGTGCCTGCGCCTTCGCGGAGGGCCCGGGCTGTGTGGGGAGGCTCGGCTCAGGGCAGAAAGCTGCTCTTACGCCTCCCGCCTCCAGGCCTGTCCCGTGGCGAAACTGCCAGGGCGGCGGGTACCCAACCGGGCGGGCGCGGGACGCGGACGGGCAGACAGGCAGCGCGCCGGGCACCTTCGGCGAGCGGCCATGGCTGTGGCGCGTGGGGCGACCCGCCGCCTGTTTGCGGCGCTGCGGGGCCGGAGCCCGAGCCTCGCGGCCATGGTGAGTGTGGAGGACCCTCGTGGTGGGAGTAGGGCAAGGCCTCCCCGGCACCCGCTGAATGGCTGGAGGGGCCGGGCAGACTCTGAAGTCGGCGCGGCTTGCGGGTCGCCACGTTTGAAGACCTGCCTGACGCACAGGTCAGAGCGAAGTGTGTCCACAGCACCTTCCTAGTTTGCACTTGCTTAAAAATTCCATCATAGGCTACGCATTTACTACAAACTAGAACGAGTTTTGCTTAAAGAAGAAAAAAAGAATAGTAGTTGTAATAATATTTGATGTTTAGTCCGACAGGCCCTTTAGATTGTACGCTCGGTGAGAGCAGGGACCGTCTCCACCAAGGCACGCTCTAAGCGGGTTGGCTGAAATGTTGGATCACCGTATTTTTTTTTGGAGCAGATGTTAATAAATGATACTTTTTGTGCCACAAGTTGCTTTTTTTCCTTACCACTTTCGAAGGGTCACCCTGTCACTTTTATTGCTATAGAAATTAATATTTTGTTATCAATTAATTTGATGGAAAAGTTTTAACATGCAGCATCACCTAGTGGCGAGATGTTGCAAAAGCTTACTATTTTCCTTTTCTTACGTTGGCCTTTTGGCTCTGTTTGAAATTTAAAATAGCTGCGTGGTTCAAGGTGATAAGCACTGTTTCCTGGCCATTCAGGAGAGAACCCGAGTTGAGTGCTTACTGTCACGTAGGCATACCTCGAGGCACAACTCTGCCCAAGACGCTGGCGATCAAGTAAATACGGGGTGTTAAAGGGCAGAATGAATACTCGAATGATGTGAGTGGTTGCCACGAACCAGCTTCTTCCCTGGGTGTCTTCACATTCAAAATCTCCTTAAGCCTTTCAAAAACAATAACAACAACCCCTCAACTGGTGGTTCTGTGCCGTGGGGTCGGTTCTGACTCATAGTGATCCTGTACAGGGTTTCCGAGGCTGCAAATCTTTATGGGAGCAGAAAGCCTCATCTTTCTCCCGCGGAACAGCTGGTAGCTTCGAACTGCTGACCCTGAGGTTCACAGCCCGATTCGTAACCACTACAGCTACCAGAGCTCAACTGGTAGATACTGTAATATCCCTACTATGGAGGGAGGGTACTAGAATTCAGAGACTAAGTGACTTCAGCAGCCCCCTGGTGCAGAGGTTAAGTGCTCAGCAGCTAACCTAAAGTGAATCCACCAGCCACTTGGTGGGAGAAAGAGGAAGCACTCTGCTTTGTAAGGATTTGCAGCCTTGGAAACTCAGTGGGGCATTTCTACTCTGCCCTTGTTGTTAAGTGCCGTCGAAGTCGAGTCGATTCCGGCCCATAGCGACCCTGTATAGGGTTTCCAGGGAGCAGCTGGTGAGCTTGAACCACCGACCTTACAATTCAAACAACTTTGCAGTCTGATGCATTAGCCCACAGCGCCACAGGGTAGCAGTGATATTTGATAGCAATGAGTTTGTGTTTGTTTTTAAAGAGACTTCTTCAGTGTTCTATAGCTAAAAGTAACAAGGATAGGTCTTGAGTCAAATTTAAACAGTTAACTAGTTGCCCTTGAACTCATGACAACCCATATACATCATAATAGAACTATGCTCCATTGGTTTTTTTTTTTAAATTGTGAATTGAGTGATGAACAGACAAGATCATCAGTTTTATTTTCAACCAATCTATGTTTCTAAATGATTACAATCCCCTCCCTGCAACAAGTTACTTTGCTTCCTCCCAGTGCTTTCCCTTTTACATCTTTATTTTCCACAAATCAACAAAGCAAAAATACTTGATGTATACATACAAAAAAAAAAAAGCAAAAAAATATTCATTTAAATGTCCAAAGGACAAAATTTGCAAGCCAGCCTCTAGCCCACAGGCACTGAGCCTTTCTCAACCCATGCTTTATAGGGGTTTCAGTGTCTGATTTTTGGGGGAAGTAGATAGCCAGGTCTTTCTTCTCAGTTGCTCCTTAGTGAACTCCAACCTTCAAGCTTTTGGTAGCTGAGCATGTTAATTGTTTATGCCACTCCAAATCCTATGTTGGTCTTGGCCTCTCTTTCCCTATTTCTCCCACCCCCCAAATTAACCCCACCACAAAGGGTTCTACTGAGGTCGAGTCCCCAAGCAGGCCATTAGGGTTATATGGATGAAGTGGCTCCATTTCACGGTCTTGGGCATGATCCCTGTTTCTGGGCAGACATCTGTGGTGAGCAGAGTGCTCACATGATCTCAGTGGGGATGCGGATGACCGAGCATGAAGAGAGAAACAGCTCAGAGCTGTTCCACAGGCCCCAGGTGACTGCTACATTACCGATGGCATATGTGATAGCTTTCGTTGTGGCAATTCAGTGTGGACACACAGAATTAGTTTCTTTTCCCCCAAACTCTCAGTTGACCTAATATATTTAATAAGAATTTTAGGTTATTTCCTATAGAGGAACTTCGTGTAAAAGTGTTTTAAACTGTCATTGTACCACTGAGTAGATCTCTTGGTTCTTAATTGTAAATTGTTTTAGATAAGTCTATAAATGTTTTTAGTTATTCAGGAGGTATTTTCTTTCTTTTGTTAGTGATGAGGAAGGGTAACTGCTCTAGCGAGGAAAAAACTAGAAAACTGGTTCATTGTTTTTTGTTTTTTTTTCTTAACAAAATAAGTTGTCTGAAAGTAAAGTCATTTTTTTGCCCTTTTGATGTCAGTAATGTCAATGATAAAGGATTTCTGGATTTCTGAAGTGGGAGTGAATTACAATTTCATGGTAGACAATCAGGCTCAGCCCAGCATTGCTCTTGGATGAGAGTCTTTACATTAGTACAGTCTTTCTGGTGACCTTCACTTTCTCACAGTGTCCTGAAGTCGGTAAGACAGGAGGTAGTGGTTAGCACTTAATGCTCTCCTGGCTTCAAAAAGGGTGTCCTGTGCACTGGCCATAGTGTTTAGAGTTCTTTCATTTAAGCAACAAATAATGTGTTAAGTGTAGGCCTGGTAACTGTAACCAGCAGAATTTGGATTTGCAGATGACATCACTGGGGTGAGTAGAAACAAGGCAGATAATGCACACAAGTACTTTGGATGGACGTTACTCTGCTCATACCCGAGAGACTGTATCTTTTGGCTCTCAGAAAAAGATTTCTTAAATACACTCCACTAAAACAAGGGCTTTTTACCTGTAATCCAGAAGGTCTGTGCATTCTTAGAAGTTATACAAATTCTGTGTAAATGTGCATTTGATTTTTCTCTCTGAGGTTGGCTCTTACTAGATTCTGAAAGAGGATAATGACCCTCAGAAGGTTAAAACCCATGTAAGTAGGTAGTGAAACCTACTGCTTAGTTAGTGTGGCACCATCCAAAGAGCAGCAGACCAGGAGCTTCAAGCCCTGGGTTCTAATCCTGACTCTGGCATGACTTACAGAATTTTCACAGATGGGTATTTTTATCCTGGAGTATTACATTTTTGCAAAATGTTTCTTGACTTGGGCAGTGGTAATGGCCAGTCTTTCAGTTGTAGCTGTAATAAACCAGAGAAGCAGCAGTAAGGGGTAGAGAGAGAACATACTATGACGGCAGTTTGTTTTGTACAGAGCTAGCCTGGGAAACCCTATGCAGGGTCACTATGAGCCGGAACTAACTCCATGCGCACACACCACTAGCCTTGCTATGGAGTCCTGGTAGGGTGCTGTGGGTTAATGCGCTGGACTGCAAAGTCAGTTTAAACAGCAAGGTTGGCAGTTCAAGCTCAACAGCAGCTTCTCAGAAACCCTATACAGGGCTGCTGTGCACTTAACAACAACAACAACAACATAACCTTGCTTTGGTCTATCTTTTGAAAATTTAGTGTTTTGAGGTCAAAGGATCCAGAGATGGTTACAGTTTGTTGTCCCTGAAACCTTTAGGCATAAAGTAGGAGCCCTAGTGGTGCAGCAGTTAAGCATTTAGCAACTAACCCAAAAATTGAGGTTTGAATTCACTGGAGAAAGATGTGCAGTCTGCCTCCGTAAAGATGAACAGCTTTGAGAACTCGATGAGTCAATTCTCCCAGTCTTAGAGAGCTGCATTTGAATCAACTTGACAGCAAAAAGCATGCATAAGGTAATTTGAGTTTAAACAAGCATATACATTTCCAGATATTAAATGTGTTCTTATTGCAGTCAGCAGATGCTCACGGATTGACAGCAGAGGAGAGGAACCAAGTTATACTTGACCTTAAAGCTGCAGGATGGTTGGAATTAAGTGAGAGAAATGCTATCTACAAAGAGTTCTCGTTCAAAAATTTTAATCAGGTAATTATGATCAATTCTTGCTGGTGCTATGGTCTATTTTTGCCACCTTAGGCAGTGATTGTATTCCATACTACTGGCTGTTTGGCCCCAGGTGGATTCAGGTTCCAAATCTTCCTTAAGACTTCCATCTTTGGTGACAGGTGCTACCACCTACCTGGCCCGTTCTCAGCTCTGGGGGAGAGTGGTGTTTCATGTCATTTGGAAAAATCAACTTTAAAAATTACTATTGCTTTGGTTTGGTGTGGGTTAGGATATTTGTTATTGTTTTTTTTTGGAAATTTCAAATAGTGTTAAAAATGGTGTGAGCTTTTTGTATTGAACTGTAAAAATGGGTGAGGAATGTACACCCTCCTGTCTGATTTCTCCTATTGTTCCTGGGAAGTTGGTAAGTTTTATTTTCTTTCTGTGGTTGTTATTTCTACCTCTGAGTCATCTCCCAAGTTGCACCCTCTTCCTTTGTGGCCCCTCTTCCCCAAGTCCAATGGTGGTGGTGGTGGTACACTGTCGAGTCAGTTCCAACTCAAAATGACCCTGTTCAGGGTTTCCAACATTGTAAATCTTTGCAGGAACAGAAAGCCTCATCTGTCCGAGGAGTGCCTGGTGGATTCGAACTGTTGACCTTTGAGTTAGCAGCCCAACTCATAACTCACTACACTACCAGGGCTCTTTCCATGCCCAGTGTTGTTATTGTTAAGTGCCGATTCATAATGATCTTGTGTAGTGTTTCCAAGGAGCAGCTGGTGGGTCTGAACCACCGACCTTGTGGTTAGCAATCCAGTGCTTACTTTACAGAAGCAGGACTCCTCCACGCCCAGTAACTAGCCTTAAAATCTTTTCTCAACATCTGACCTTCCCCTTTGGAGATTTGGCCTTAACAAGGTTCTATTTGGGCCCCACCCTGTTTAGAGAGTCATCTCCCATGACTTGCCCATCAGTTATTACTCTATGCATTTATGAAAAGTAAATGCTTTCGACCGTTTCCTGTTTGTTTAGTTAGTTTGGCAATCCTTTAGACAGTTTAATTGTTTTTATTTATATTAGGTGTCGGCATCTAGAAGTCAGGGACCATGTTTGCTTAAAGAATTCTCTATTGTACAGGCATTTGATAAATGTAGACATTGGTGATACTGCTTGCTAATTTCTAGAAGGGTGTGTGAGGACCAGCTTTCCACCAAAGGAACCTTCGGCTTGTTTTCCTAGTCAATACCTTTGGCTCCAGTGAGCTGTGTGCACTCACTCTTCTGCTCTCCATCCATCTGGCTGCCAGCTTTCTGCTGTGAGTCTCCAACTCCTAAGGAAACCTGTACCAAGCAGACCGCCTGTCCCTGCCACCCCACGTGTTCGACAGCTCTTGTCAGGGGCTTAGCACTTGGTGGCTGGTAGCAGGGAATCCCATTGGTACAGTAAGCTTGTGCATAAGCTCTAGGTAGCATTTGCTAAGCTTATTAAAATTCTGACATGTGTACAGCCCGACTTCTGTAAGCCTGGGCTAATTTATTGGCCTTGAACATGTGGCTTAAAGTACTTGAGTGGTGCTGCCTCGGTCTCTGCCCATGATTCAGTCCTGCAGCACCGCAGTAACCTTGAGCATGGAGTGGCATTCCGAAATGGCAAGGAAGGGAAGTTCTGCAGGGCATCCTTGATTAATTGTAATATTATTCACTGGGACCTTCAATTAACTAGGCTTTCCCTGCCTCCTTCACCCCTCTTTTAGGGGGAGAAAATCAGCTGATATGAGAGAACTTATTCAGAGAACAAACCTTAAGGTGGTTGTGGTTATATCTTGGGGTCAGTTTTCCAACCAGTCTCCTCCTTCTTTATGTATCGTGGCCTGTAATGTCAACTGATAATGACATCTGTCAATGCCCCCAGCCAGAGACCAACAGGCACATGTCTGTGTTTGAACAAGTTGGGAATATTACTGGTTGCACCGAGGGAGAATGTGCCCTGGGGAACCCTGGGTCATCTCAGGAACAGGGTGTTGTAGAAGACTTAAGAAATTTGGGCTTATGTTAGTGATTTTAAAGATTTTGAGGAAAGAGAGCTTTGTTCTGAATTGGATAATGATGTCAGGGAGAGGAAATAGTTCTGGGTGTTTGAATAAATTTGAACAAGGGGAGCAGACTAAGAGAGGCTATAGCTGAAACTGGCAGTGAGGCAATAGTCACTCATGTTAGCCGGAAGTTGCAGGTGTTTGGTATTTTGTAGTTTGGACAGTGTTCATGTTTTGTCTGTGTTCAGAGTGGTTGCAGAGTGGTCTTGTTTCTTTCTGTCTTGGTCCACCATGGTCATAGAATGACCTTGTCTGATGCTGAAGTTTATGTACAACAGTAGAACACCAAGGCCTTGCTGGGAGTGCCAGGCCAGCTCCCCAAATGTGACGAAGGGTCTTCTTTTCTCTTTCTCACAACTGATGCCTTCAGAGTGGTGACCCTCTGGTATTCATAGATCCTTACACATCTTTCATTTAAGAGACCAGCCTTGTTTGGTTGTAGCAATAAATAACATTACATTGTTGTTAAGTCCTGTCAAGTCAATTTCCAACTCATAGCGCCCCTGTATAGGGTTTCCAGGGTGATAAATCTTTGTGGGTGCAGAAAACCTCATCTTTCTCTCGTGGAGCATTGTGTGGATTCAAACTGCCAACCTTATGGTTCACATTCCAGTGCTTGCCCTACAGAGGCACCATGCTCCCACACATTATATTGGTGGTGGTGGTTGTATGCCACCGAGTTGGTTCTGACCCATAGTGACCCCGTATAGTGTTTCTGAGGCTGTAAATCTATGCAGGAGCAGAAAACCTCATCCTTCTCCCTTGGAGCGACTGGTAGATTTGAACCAATGACCTTACATTCAGCAGCCCAGCTTGTAATCCACTGTGCTACCAGAGCTCCTACACACTATATTGTTGTTGTTGCTATGTGCCGTTGAGTCGGTTCCAACCCATAGTGACCCTGTGTAGCTTTTCCAAGGAGCAGCTGGTGAGCTTGAACTGCCAGCATTGCAATTAAAACCGACTTTGCAGTCCAGTGCATTAACCCACAGTGCCACACTGAGACACTCCTCATGTTATATTGATTGATTGATGATTATGTGCCATGGAGTTAGTTCCGACTCATAGCGACAGGGTTTCCAGGCTGTAAATCTTTACGGGAGCAGAAAGCCTCATCTTTCTCCAGTGTAATAGCTGGTAGTTTCGAACTGCAGACTTTCAGGTTAGCAGCCCAGTTTGTAACCACTTCGCTACCAGAGCTTTTTACACATTATATTGTTGTTGTTGTTGTTAAGTGCCATCAAGTCAGTTCCGGCCCATAGTGACCCTGTATAGAGTTTCTGAGGAGTGACTAGTGAACTTGAACTGCCTACCTTGCTGTTCAAACTGACCTTGTAGTCCAGCACATTAACCCACAGTGCCACACCAGGACTCCAACACATCATATTGTTGTTGTTGTTAAGTGCTGTCGAGTCAATTTCGACCCATAGCGACCCTGTATAGGGTTTCCAAGGAGCCGCTGGTGAGCTTGAACCACCAACCTTGCAGTTCAAATGGCTTTGCAGTCTGGTGCCTTAACCCACAGCGCCACACCAGGACTCCAGAACGTTATAACTGCCAACCTTGTGGTTCACAATCCAGTGCTGATCCTATAGTGCCACACCAGGAATCTGAAAGAAACTATATATATAGAAAAAGACCAGAGAAGAACAGAAAAATGAACATAGCTATCATGGATAAAACAAAAGGTAATTTGTACCATCCTAATATAACATGTTATATTAGCACTGGACTGTGAACCACAAGGTTGGCAGTTCAAATCCACCAGCTGCTCCTCGGAAACCGGAGGTTGCTGTGAGTCAGAACTGAGTCGACGGCACTTAACAACAACATAGTTTATTTAAAATGTGGCGATTGTATATGCAGTGAACATTTAAAAAATTCATTTATTTATATTTTATTCATTAATTCAACAAATGTTTATTATCTTCTCTGTGCCAGACATGATTCCAAGCTCATGTGTCTCACATTTCAGTGGTAGACAATAAACAGATGAATGTTGTTGTTGTTAGGTGCCATTGAGTCAGGACCAACCCATTCTACGTACAGCAGAACGAAACAGTGCCCAGTCCTGGGCCAACCTCACTACTGTTAATACGTTTGAGTCCATTGATGCTGCTATTGTACCACAATCCATCTCATTGGGGGTCTTCCTCTTTTTTCTCTGACCCTCCACCTTACCAAACATGATATCCTTCTTCAGCAACTGCTCCCTCCTGACAATATGTCTGAAGTATGAGAGACGAAGTGAATAGGGAAGATAATTTCAGGGAATTATAAGTGTCATGACAGAGACTAAAATGGGATACTGGAATAAAGTATGGAGGGCATGGGTACTACTTTAGATGGAGTAGTGAGAGATGGCCTCTCTGGGGTGGGTGGTTTAAGGGAGACATCTGAGGCCTGAGTAATGCGAAGGAGTTCAGTGTGCGAAGATCTGAGGGCAGAGATTCCAGATGGACAGAATAACAAGTACAGCATTCCAGAAGTGGGAATGATCTGGGCATGACTGAGAAAGAGGCAGAAAGCTAGTGTTGTGGAGTGGATGGAGAGAGGAGAAGAGGGTGGTGGGAGATGAGGGCGAAGTGAGGGGTAGATGGATGCTGGGTGAGGGGAGAATGAAGAGTCTTGCTTTGGACGTGTCTGGTGTGAGGCACTTATTAATCATCTAAGGGGTGCTGTTGGGCTGGCAGTTGGATATGTGAGGTCACAGCTCAGGCTAGGGCTATCTATGTGAGTGTGCCCAGTATACATATGGTCTTAATAGTTATTGTTCACTGACATCCAGTTGTTCCAACTTATAGCAACCCTGCATAGGGTTTCTAAGGAGCGGCTGTTGGGTTTGAACTGACCTTGCAGTCCAGCACATTATCCTGCAGCACCACAGGGTAGAATGAGCAGGTGGCGGCGAGAAGACAGCATATCTGAGTATAGATGCAGGCAGGTT